TTGACCCCAGTTCACTACATGATAAACACCAATAAAAAGTTTATTGCAGTAAATCTGGTTTTAGCCTTAACTCATCTCTGAAACGTGGACTGGATCTGATTATACTGTTCTGATTTCATTGATGAGAAAGGAAGATCATGCAGACAAAGTCTCTCAATATCAATTGTAGTACTGTTGGTAGAAAAGAGAACTAACTTGGATTAATGACTCCAACTGCAAAATTAGTTTAAAATTAGACTGATTAGATCAAATTAGATTTAATTTCCGATCCCTTTTTTTAAATTAGGTGAGTGGTTTTTTAAAATTATAAAGTAATATAGGTTCAGGATTTTGAAATAGGGTACAGGAAGGTAATTAGTAAAAATGTTAAAATTCCTCCTGTTCCAACTTCCCTACCATCCAACATTTTATTCTACTCCCCAGAAATATGTATTACTAACATTTTTTTTCTGTGTAACTCAAGGAATTTTCTGTACATATACAAGCCTATCTATGTTAGTAAATATTTCCAATTCACTTTCTAACTATAAACCCAGTGTAGACATACTCTGAATTATGAAGATTGTATTATTAATTAGATCATGTTAATGATTAAAGTCCTAATTATCTTCAATTGAATAAGATCTTTTATTTGAATTATTTCAGAAAGTTTAACTTTAGGGTGTTCATTACTCTGAGCAAGCTACATGATTGTAATTATTCTAACATCATATACACAACCACAGATACACATATTCCCTTGTCTGTGGAGGAACACCTCTCATTTCTGCTTTTGAAAATCATAAAAGCTACTGAGGTAGGTGAATTCCCTGAATCACACTTCTCTCTTGTAATGCCTTGTTATGGAAAGGTAGCAGATGGGGGCTCATTGTCCAAATTACAGCAGTAGCTGTATGTAATGCTGTTTAGAGTGCAGTCACAATGAATTCAAATCCCATCCAAATACATCCTAAAAATGTTAGTTTGACCCCTAATAAGTTGGTGCATGTCCATGAACCTCCCAGCAAGCCTTTAGGGGTTGCAGAGTTGCATTATTCTCTCTTAGAGTGCTTTTTCTCTACCTTCTCAACAGATAGATGAGTCTCTTATCAGAAGGAGCAGATGGCAGTGCGAGTCTGTTTGAAATTGCAGACCTGCCCTTGGAGAACAGGCTTGGAATTTTTTTTGTAGAGTGTATTACTGGGGAAGACAATCGGTCTTAGAAGCCTAGGGAAAAACTTCTGAATTTTGGCTCAGAAATGTTTCTTGGGTTCTTCTTATTTAATAGTTAAGTGATGTTAGGTCTAGAAATGAGACAGCTCATCAACCATTGATGTTCTGAGATGTGAAACACTGATAACCATTTAAGGTCTAAGAATTCCTGAATTTAAAACAGTGCCCCCAGAATAACATAAATGAACTATCTTCTCAGGGTACAGGTGCTTTCATATTCAGGATATCATTTAATCCTCAGGGCAAATCAATTATTTAAAGTTTTCTTTACACTTGAGGAAACTGAGGACTGAACAGGCAAAGTGATTTATTCCAGGACAGACACAAAGCTGGCAAACACAAATGCACAATGTACTGGCCAAGATGCGCATCATGGGCAAATGTGGGTGGGTGGTTATTATGGACAATCCTTTTGGCAGATGCTTTAGAAACACAATGTCACAGACCTGCATCAAAGAAGGAATTATTGTATCCATTGTACATATAAGGTTCCTGTGCATAACTTACTAAAGCTGCCCTTCTAGTAAAGGGTAGATGTGCTTCAAACCTGGTTAATGTGTGGCTAACTACAGCTTTCATACTCCTGGAGGGCTTCCAGAAGGAACACAGCCCTGCCAATATATCCTGATACTAGCCCAGTGAGACCTGAGTCAGATTTCTACAGAACTGCTGATAATACACTTGCACTGTTTAAGACAGTAATTTTGTGGAAATTTTCATGGATCAATAGGACACTAATAAAGAGGTGTTGTAGATATTAAAAGAGATCAGATAGACAGGTAAGCAGGCAGAACACCTAAATTGACATTTAGTAGGGATTCAACAAATAAAATTAATATTTGTGGGGTAAATGGCAGAATTTCCAGAATCTCCTGCCTAGCCTTAGTCCATTTACGTATCAGTGGGTGTTCACCACTGCAGAGCCTCACGGTGGGGCCAGGGGAAGGGCTGGAGAGAAAACGGCCATTCTTGCCTCCCCTCCGTTCCTGGTACCTAATTGGTCGGTGCCCGTCAATCTCACGGCCCTGCGAGCGGAGTTCCTCGCGGCAGGGGCGGGCCGGGAAGGAGCAAGTGAGCCCGGCCAGAGGAGCTACGATATTTTAACCAGATTTGATCTTCTTTGGCTACTGTGATATTTTCCATCTGTTACATTTTTGGGATATCCTCACCTTATTTGGTGTGTCTTAGAAAATAGTCCCAAACTGTTATACATGAACTCATGTAGAGTTTTGGTCTGTGGGCACATGCGTTTTGTACAAGGAGACTCAGAAAGTTCATAGGTTTGAAAACTAACCTGCCCAATTGTTCATTTTTTGTTCTATTTCCTGTACGTGAGGGAAACCTAGTTAATTTTCTAAATGCTAAAGGGAACAGAGACAAAACAAAGAAAAAAATAAAGTAAAAAATTTTAACAGGGCTGTACAAAAAATCATAGTTTTTATTCAACATTCTAGAAATCTCACTAGGATTAGTTGCATTACTATTTGCTCTATTAGAATTAGTTGTCATCTTAATTTATTCATATTTATTAATTTTGTTAGATTTTTAATTGAGCAAGTTGGCACCCAGTGAGTTACAGATGGATGCTTAAATAGGGAAGGGGTGGTGGGGTGAGCACCAGTTTTGCAGTGGGTGTCACAAGACTCTTTTATTCCTCATGAATCATAAACCAAAGTAAAAATTATTATGCAACTGGTATGTGCTAGCATTCATTTAGGTGCTGTGGATATAAGAAACAACTGAGACAAAAATAATGGAGGGGAAGACAGACAATTAGATAAGTAAAGCAAAGGTTTACATGGGATTGAATATATTTAAAATTCTGATGGTTAATTTCATACACTGAAAGGACTTGAGTTTTAATCACCCCTTGAATGAGACAATGGCTTACTTCTCTGGTATTCTATAGAAACAAAGCATTTCACGTAAATGTAATCTCTTCTAATGAAAGACTTTATTTGTATGTTTAATATTTTAAAAAATTTTAGTACATTTTAAATTTGATATTGATACTTTGTGGATTCTGAAACAGAGTATACTAATGATAATTTAACATTTGATGATTAATTAGGTCCATTTAGTTACAAAGATGAACTTGAAAGCTATTTAGCTCTATATGGCTGATTAGCTTTACAAAAGTGGCCCCAGATTGTTGAGCCTTTTAAAATCATATACATTACTTGTCAAAATCCTTTTTTCTCCCTCTTTCCTGGTTACTTTATGGCACCTGATCAGTATACCTGATTTTTGTAGTCCTGCTCTTTTTAGTGAACTTACTTCTAATCTTGGATTTAAGATAATCACCCTTAGTAAATTCTGGCTTAAACTAAAGAGATGTAAGCTTGAAGCAGAACTTTTCCAAAAAGTAAAGGCATTAGTCCATTTTGATTCACAGATATTTGTGTTTTCACATAATTTGGTGGCTTATTTATAAAATCCTGGTTTTATGTGTTATTGCTGAGGTTACCATGCATGTGTAAAGTCTGATTGACTCAGACATGACTCAGCTTAAACATAGTTTGCACCCAGAAACATGCATAAATTCTGTCCCTTTTAATTAGATATATTGCAGAATGTGAATCTCAGGACCTCTGTACCCCGAATCTGAAATATAGTCTTATTAAGGAAACTCTTAGCCCTCTTTCTAGGACTGCCATGCTCTCTTTCCTCAATTTATGTGCCTGATGGGCTTTCAAGTCAGAATCTATTTGGCCTTATGAATAAATAAAATTTCTTTTATTCAGACATGTTCTGGTGTGAACACTGAAGGAAGTCAGGCTTACCTACTTTTTGCACTTGCTCTTTTCAAAGTCCTCACCATAATTCTCACTCTTTGGCAGATAAGCTATTCCTTCGCAGATTTCTAGAAATGCCATTGTAAACAAATATAGTAAACAATAGAAAAACAAGGTTGAGACCAACAAATGACAAAAGAAGCAGTATAACTTGAAGGCAATGTCAAATAATTGACAACGAGATGTCTTAAACCTTAGTGGATGTGGTTTTCACTTACAATCATAGAATTCCAAAGCCAAAATTTTTCTTCTGTGATTTTATACATGATGCCCAGGGAAATTAAGTGAATGTCCTAAAGAGAGATGTTAGCAAGAGAAAGAACTAGCATATGACCGCGGGCCTTGGCTCTCGGCCCAGACTTTTAATACCGGACCATGGTGCTCTGCTGCATTGCTGAACGGTTTTAATAATAACAATAGCTGCAATGTTTTTAGGTTTCTTTGAATCCTTGTATCGATTACATAATGGTAGATATGTTTAATCCAATTTTAGAGTTCAGGAAGCTGAATCTAAGTAAGGTTCACCAAGGACACAAAACAGCAGGGCTGGGTTGAACCGCCAGATTTTTATTATTTCAAAACCTTTGTGTGAGGAAATAATCACCTTATTTATATTATGACCCACCTTTATGTTTTATAAATATCTGTGGACAGGATATGTGATAAAAATCTTCAGAAGATGGAAAATGTCCTTGTGAGAGTTTATCTTATCTGCTCTAAGAGGCTGATTGATCTATAGATGGGGGGAAGGGTCCTTACATCTGAGGCTGAGCAGAACACGATAGGCTTCTTACTTTGCGTGAAATCGCTAATAGTGCTCAGCCAGCCGCCTGACCAAATCATGCTACCAATTAATGCAGAGACTTGCTTTGGGCCATGCAAACAGTCTGGCAGACTCAGAACTTAGTTAATTCACCTGCTGGATTCATGTAGTGTACTTGGCTCTCTAGATATCCACAACTTTTCTAATTAGTTTCTTTCATGCCTGCATAGACTGTTTCAGAGGATGGGCTTCTGGAATTCAGTGGATCTGGACAGGTAAGACTATGTTTTCATCCAGCCTTTATTTCTATTCATTGAATAGACTTTAGTCTAGAAACATTGAATAATGTCTCACTGTACATATAGAAAAGATAGAAATCTTAAATTTGGTATTTATTATGAGAAACCAAAATGCTGTGGATGCTGTGCTTACTGCTGGGGGTGAGCCCCTTTCTCCCTGGCTTCCTTCTCTTTGGAATGACTTCAGTTAGCCATTGGGTACCATCACTGACTTCTTTCCTCACATTTCACATCTTTCTGTGATATGCTTGGGAAAAAAATGTCTATTTTTCGTTTAGTCCTTCCTTCCCTCCTTTTGGGAATAATTACCTGCAGGGAAGGTGTTTTCCTGGCCTGATCCCTATTTTGTAGGAGGCTTCCTGTATTATATTCTGCTGGGTTAATCTGAGTAATTCAAGCAAATTATATTAGCAAGTCATCTCACCAAAGATTCAAAGTTGTGTCTCCAATCAGATTTAACAGCAATAAAAGTGATATGATGACCTTCAACTTTTGACTTGATGTATCTCATGTCTGCCCCCATCCATCCTTTTCTCTCGGTTCTGAACCTAGAATAAATATAATGATATTAACTTTCAAAAAGAGTAGTAGTACCCAGGATATCTAACAACCAGTCCAGTACCTCTGTTGTCAGAAAAGAAGCTGGAGGAAGAGGCAAGGACATACCAGACCAGTGTGGTTAAATATGAAACCTGATACCCTAAAGTGATAGCACATACTTGCAAATTTTTATAAACAAAGTGAATCTATTCATTCATTTAAATATTAGCCTTCATCTCATAGGAATATTAACATCTCATTTTAATCAATGTCTTTGAGTTATAACTAGACATTTTTGCTAATCACACCACATTATGTTCAAGAGTGGTGTCCATCCATATGTTGACTTCACGTGTCCATCCATTCAGTAACCACGTGTTGACTCACTATATGTGAGATATTACTAACTGAGACACTAGAGACACAGGGATGCACAAATCATTGTCCCTGTCTTCAGAAAACACTGGCAAAATGAGTTCAAGGTCTCAATCCTGATTTTTAGCAATATGGACATTTGAATCTTTTCCACAAATTTTTTATAACAAGTAAAACATATTTTCTAAACAAGGTTATGTGGATATATTCAGAAACCTCAGATTAATTCAGAAGTCTCATAGCAGTATTGATATTACCTTAAAGAATAATGTGTGTTGAGTCAGACCTTAAAATTTGTATTACAGAAAATTTGTGTTATCCTGTCTTTTAGTATAAAATAAGTCTATTTTTTCCTAAAATTCATTCATATGTATAGTGTTAAAGTTTTTTGACACAGAGATATTTGCAATAATGTTTTATAACTCTTGTAAATCTTAAATTTCTGTACCTAACTTGCTGATTGGTTGTTTGCTTTTTAGATAGTCATTCTTTTGCCTAGATTACGTCTAAGCAAAGAATTGGCTTTGTTTTTGATAATCAGCATGAATTGCCCTACTCATTCCTGCCCTTAAATTCTTTTTGCCTTTCTTCATTTTACTCTCTTGTTTCACCATTTCACATTTATTTTCAACGTTCCTTATTCCCTTATAGATAAAAATACAAAATCCCCTAGATGGACTGCCTTAACTATATCCTCCAACCTTTAACCATTTTGGGCTTTCACTGACACTAAGTGCTAAATATTTTGTAATTTCCTTAGGAAAAGGTGATATAAGGTTATCATTTCTTATTTTCAAACACACTGTAATTTACAAAACTATTTTCACTGTTGTTTTCTAATTGTATTGCACTTCTGCTAGAGACCATAAATAGTCTGTACTTTGTGGCCTTGTTGAAACCTCCTGTCTTGGCCTAGTACATAGTCTATTTTTCATACAGGCTCAAAAAGCATATGCACTCTAGGACTTTTTTAGTATAAAAATATGCATGTATATATTCATATATACATATATATAAATTCAAACTTACAACTTTTGATTACCTTTCCAATAATTTGCTTGTTTTGATTGCATGATCTATTCACTTCTTAAATAATATATAACAATTTAATCATAGTTGTTAATTTTTCTATTTCTTCCATATAATCTTGTAAGTTATTGTTTTAATATATAAAGCTATGTTGTAAGTGCATATATTTGCATGTGTGACATATCATTTTGATCATTTTTTCTTTTTTCAGTGTATATTGAGTTGTCTGCAGTGGTTCTTTTGTCTCTCCACATAAACATTAGAATCAGTTTAACAATATCTACAAAATAACTTGCTTGGATTTTGATTGTAATTGCAGTGAATCTATCAAGCTGGGAAAACAGATATCTTGTCAAGATTGAATATTTCTATCCATGATCATGGAATATCCTTCCAGTTACTTAGTTCCTCTTTGATACATTTCCCCAGTCTTGTAGTTTTCTTCATTCAGATCCTGAACATATTTTGTTACATTTAGACCTAAATATTTCATTTTTGGAGGTGCAAATGGTAATTGGTAATAGTAAATGGCAATGTGTTTAATTTCAAATTCCATTTATTAATTACTGGTTTATAGGACAGTCATTGACTTGCCACAGAAATTTTGTATCCTGCAACCCTGCTACAATCATTTCTTTGTTCCAGGAGTTTACTGTTGTTGATATTTTTGGATTTTGTGAATAGATGATCATGCCATCTGTGAACGAAGACAGTTTTTGTATCTTCCCTTGCAGTCTGTATATCTTTCTTCTCTTTTCTTTTACAACTATCTGGTTCTGATTTCCGACTTAATTCCACTGTGGTTCTGGAGCCCAAACTGTATGATTTCTTTTCTTTCAAATTTGTGAAGGTGTCTTTTATGGCCCAGAAAGTGCTCTGTTCTTGAATATTCCATATGTTCTTGAGAAAATGTGTAATCTTCTGTTGTTGGAGGAAGTAGTTTATAGGTGCCAGTTCTATTAGTTTATTGATGGTAATGTTGAGATCAAATATTTTCCCCTCACTGTGCCAGAAGCATGAAGAGATTTTTCTCTGATATTCAGCAGAGATATAAAGAAGAACAGAATAGATGCAACCCTGACATTTTTGACACTTATAGGTCAGTGGGTCTCTTCATGAATAAAGTTTCCAGCACATAAATATAATTGCACAGAAAGTATTTTTATTTTGTACATATGGTGAGTTATTTCACTATTTTAACTGAAATTTCTGGGAAGATGCCAAGTGCTTCCTCTCACTTCAATAAGAGTATCTGTAAATATTTCTTTCTTTTGAACTCATATAATAATCAATTTCCTACTCTTTTATAGTTTAAAATTTACTTTCATAGTGGTTTCTCATTTAATTCCATTTGTGATATTAAAGTCATTATCTACTGTTGACAAATGGAGAAATTGTAGCAAAAGAACATTTAGATATTTGTTCAAGGTCACACAAGTGAGAAATGCTCTTCACTTTGATGCAAGAGCCATTAAAGTAGAATCTGTCTCTTTTTGCCTACCACTGAAGCAATGCTTAGCACAGTGCTTGGCCAGGCAATGTGATCAGCAAGTCTTGGTCGAATGGAGGAAAAAACTAAAGTCTAATAAGTCCAAAGCTCTTCCTAGAACAAAGTAATGAGAAACAAAAATATTTAGTGCCTATTGTGCATTTTCTGTTCCTACAAACCAGGTGCTTGTTTTTTTTTTTTTTTGGTATTTATTTTCTGATTTAAATCTTTAAGTAATGTCTTTATTTCAAGGATAACTCTTTTTGCTTTACATTGCAGTAACTGAGTTCAGCAGGAATAATAACGTGTTCTGGGACCTACAGCTGGTATGGGTTAGACCTGACGTTTCAATTCTGCTGCATTATATGAAAACTCTGGCTAGTTTTAGTTTATCATAAGATATACACACCAAATAAATAAAAAATAGATCTGGGGAATACTTTTAACTAAAAATTTCATGTTTTAAGTTAATGCTAACTTCATGTTTAAAGATACAACAATAATTGTCCTGTATTCAGATGAATTGTGAACTGTTTGCTGCTCAGATCATTGACAAATCTAAATGCTTTAGCTTTTATTAGTGTTAGTAAGGTTATCCTTGGTACATAAATAATGAATAGAATGTAGGGAAAATTAAGAATCATTGAAACTCTCACTATGCTTTGTGTAGTGTAGCTATGCTGTTATTTAAGGGAACAGAAATAGGTAATCCATGAAAATGTAGTCCCAATTAAGTGTAGAGGAGAGTTGCTTTTTATTTACACACTATTTGTGGCAGTGATGGGGATGAGGACTAAGTCTGAGGGTAAGAAAGAATAAAATGCTGAAAAACATTGATTAGGAATTCTGCTGCTAATTGTACCACCAGCATTGTTTGATGAGAGTCAATATATGTATTTGCAATTTAGAATTGTTCTTCTATTCTTCCTTTAATTTAAAATTCATCCTCATCAAGTTTTAAGTCCATTGAAAATAAAAAGGAAAAAAGTCAAGTGTTCACTTTATGTGAATTCTCTGTGGTTCAAGAATTTACATACATTTTTTTGTATTAGCTATGAACATACATGTGAGCACATGCACACATATGTGTGTATTAGCTATGCTTATTTTCTTTCACTCCTCAGGAAATTTGGAGATCTTTGTTTTCTGTTTTGCTTGCTTGCTGTTTGCTTAGGCTAGCTGATATCATATCATCTCTTGCCATTGTACTATAGAAACGATGACAACGAGGGCAATTTTTTTCTTCTACCATTGTTTTGTTGCTGACTGATAAAGGAAGGCATATGGCTCTGATAAAGTAGAAATACATATTTTAATAATATATTTTTAACTGAAGCATTTTGGAAGAACAGCACAGACTTTAGGGTGAAATTTATAGATAAACGTTCACAATAATGCTGACACTGAGCCTGTATTACTTCTTTTCAGGAGAACATGGGAAGATTTCAATTAGAGCAAGTTAAAGAGAGTCACCTGTGTCTGAAACTGCCTCAGGTCAGCTATAAATACATGGCAATCTACACTAGTTAGATGGAATTCTCACTTGTAATGAGTTTCGGATGTGCAGTGGCAACTCACAGCCTGATGGGTAGCAGGAATAATAGCGTGGCCTGAATTCTCAGAGAAGACCGCATTATCCCACTGAGTCAGGACAATGGCTGCCAAGGCTGCCAAGATTGCGATCACAAATCATGGAGGCAGCTGAGCCATTAAAATAGCATCATGTAATAGAAAGTGGTCTGAAAAACCAGTCTAAAACGTTACTCTATAGAGAAAGCCCTTGTTGAAATTTACATCTAAGTCACCTGATAGTGAGCAATCAATAACGGAAGATTTCCTCCAGAATTTTATCAGGGTCAGCCGCAGAAATCTAATAGAGTAGCTTGCCACTGATTTAAGCTGGAAGGCTCTGTTTTCCATGGCTTTTGCACAGAGAATTGAATTTATGGACTCTTCATGCAGCAGTGGCCGTTACATGCAAGGTGCCAATGACTACTTGATTATCTCAGAAGGACCTCAAAGCTAGTTGGGCATGAAATAGAGGACCTCTTCAAATGAAAGGGATCAGAATATTCAACACAGTTTATAAAGTGTGACAATTCTATTATGTAAGTTTGAACAGCAGCCACTGTTGGAAAAAAAAAAAATCCATGAGACTCTCCGAGAGAAAAACAGCTTGGCAGGGCTGGAGACTGAAAAAATACAGACTTCATTACTACTTCATTACTACTGGGAGGACAATGTTTGGAGATTTTCTATCTTAAAAATCTCAATTATGCTCCACAGAATATGTAGCTAGTTCTGGTAATCTGAGACTACTATGGAATAGATAATATTGTAATGGCTGGCTCTAGATTTAATGTAGAAAATTTCTCGATGATTGGGTTTTGAAATTTTTAATAATGTCAAGACAACTCCACACAGAGACCATGAAGACCTTTGACCTCTGTGATGGATATGAATCATGTGTAAGTTTGTGCAGGGACACCAGGCAGGTTAGTAATCCATTCTTTATTTTGGGAGAGAGACCTCTTTTTTAAAAAAGTAAGCTTCTTATTTTAGAACAGGTATAGATTTACAGAATTACTGTGAAAACAGTCCAAGAGCACTCACATACGGCATGCTCAGTTTCTCCTATTATGAATATCTGACATTGGAATGGTGCGCTTGTCACCACCAGGGAGTGATGACCTGTCATGTTCTTTTTAATATTCATACAAGAGAATCCAGATTCTCTTAGTCATGAGATAATGTCCTTTCCCTCTTCCAGGATGCTGTCCAGGACACCTGATTACATGAGTTGTCCCCTCCCTCAGGTTCCTCATTGGTGACAGTTTCTCAGACTGTCCTGGTTTTGGATGACCTTGACTATTTGAAGAGCCCCGGCTGGTGTTTTATAGGTTCTCCTTCAGTTGGGGCTTGTCTGGTATTTTCTCATTAGCCTGGGGTGATATATTTCTAGCAGAAAGACCAGGGAGTTACTGCGCCATTTCCTCACATCACATCAAGTGTACATACTGTCAATATGACTTATCATTGTCCCTGTTAACCTTCATCATCTGACTTGAGGTGGTGTTTGTCAGTTTCCTACACTACAGGCTTAACACTGCATGTTGCTCACACTCACGGAGTGGGGGTCATGCCCCACCTCCTTAAAAGCAGAACATCTACATCAGTTGTTTGGAATTCTTCTGCATTGGAGGTCAGTCTCATTTCCTCCATGTATTTATTTAGTCCACCATTTTTTTGTAACAAACTAACTTGTGAACATGCATTTTGGATTGCATTTCCACACCATTGTATTTATTTCGTTGCCCAGATAGTTCTAGCTTTGGCCTTTGGGGATGTCTTTCACTTGGCTCTTTATCTCTTTGAGGTATTCCTGCCATTGCTCTGTTTTGGACCCTTTTTGTTTGTGCTGAGGACTGACCTTCCTGCACTGTAACTGATGCTGGGCCTGCTCATGGAAGAGGGGATGTCACTGCTTCCAGGACCTCTCGGATGACAGAGCAAGGAGACATTGTGCGTACGAATATTCACTCATCTACACATATTTCTATATGTAGTCATATGTAGTACTTTAAGTTAGACATTGTTCTTACTGAAACAGGAGCTTTCTTTTTAGCAGCCAGGACTGTATGATGCTGTTCAAAAAATTGCATTTTCTATATGTCCTATTTGACAATTTCAGTACATTTGTTTTACATAATGTTGCACTGATTTGTAATTTTATTGAAAACAAAACTAAAAATATTTTCTAATAGAACTATAGCTCCTCTTATTTTAAGCTGAATTGGCAATTTTCCATATGCTAGGATTCAGGTATGGTGGCTATCGCTCCACATTCTGAGGGTTTCAGATCTCTGTGGTCTCTTCTTCCAGGAGCAGCAAATTGGTGGAGAACCAGCATCTACTTTCCCAGCCCGTGGGATACTTTTTTTTCCTTACAAATTAGATGTTCATCTTTTCTGTTCTTTCTATTTGGCATAGTTCGCATAAGTATGTGTCTATCAAACTTACCTGACTCTTAAATCACTGGGGGAACTTAAAAACAAAACAAAACAGTACTCATATGATTACTCAACCTCAGACCAAATTCAGTTTGTGTAGGATGATACCCCAAAAATACATTTTTTTAAAGTGTCCCAGATGATTATATTCTACAGTTGGAGGTAGCATTGGTCCAGATGACCTCTAAGATACTTTGGTCTGAGATTCTGCAAGTCTTTGCGTGTCATTACCATGAGCTACCTGGATCACTCTGTGCTTCCTTCCCTATACAATGTAATACATGCAAAATAAGCACAGATCTAGAAGGTATTTGGTACCTGCGCAGTCAGATTAAAGAGAGATTGTTTTGTGTTTTGTATAGACCCTTCGATCCCGGCACCATCTAAACCCAATTTTAGACAATGGGCCTTGTAGCCATTTGCAAAAATTAAACTGAACTAGGCCACTGTAATACTGCTATTCCAGAATTCAAAGCTCGAGTCCACTGTGGGTGATTTGAAATGTTCCCATACTGGTGAATTACAGACTCTTTGTTGACCTACATTGAGATAGAAAGATTCAGCTTTTAAAAAAGCAGGAAAACACCATTCTTCACCTTCCAAGTAGGATTGTATCCAAAGCAAAACAACAGTGTTGGTTTTCAGAGATCTCAGGGAAGAGTTCACAGAGCCCTTAAATAATACATTCAGGAATTGTGTAAGGCCCAAAGTCAGGAAACATTGAAATCTGACAACTAAAAGTATTAAACTAAAATCTTCAATACTTGGATTCTAGTTCTGAGACTCTGTAAAAGCTTTTCTGGCACCAGGGAAGTCAAATACTTCTCTGTGCTTTGGCTTCTCCTTGTGACATGAGGTAATTGTTTCTCTGTCACAATGCACTGCTGAATGGATAGCTGAAGCAAGCTGTAAGAACACGTTTCAGACGCTAGTGAAAAGCCCTCGTGCGCTGCCCACTATACTACAAGGCCAAGTTGTTGTTCTTTTATTTCATCCAAATATGTTTTGCAATTTTAAGCTGATTTCCTCCTGGAAAGTGTTTGGAAAATTAGAAAACTAGTTTTCTATAGCCTATTTGCAGTCAAGTCCTTCCCAGTGTTTTGGGCCAGTGGTTGTCTTTCTAATACCGACTGTCTTTGTATAGGCGCATTGTAGTCACCTCTCCTTGCATCTTAACTCTAGTTGTGAGTCACCTGAGTGAACCTAGAGGATCTCCCAAGGGCAAACAGCCCACCACTGATTTACCAATGTTAAAAGAGTGACTTAATTTTAACATTTTTATCAGCGTTTGCTCTTCTAGTTCTGAGATTCTAATGATGCATATGAAACTTCTAAATAGATTTAGTTTCCTCATTTAAAGATCTCTGACCCCATCACACAATATATAAAGGTACGTTGGAGAAAATCATAACAAGAGCCTTTATTTGGAGTTTTGATTATGAGCTAATTACTTGGATGGCTTTCTCTATTAGCTCTTCTGAAGGGCTCCATTTAGTGGAGAATGAGCTAAGGTGACAGAATATGGAGAGTGCTTCCGGACTCCAGAAAGAAGTTTCTTGATTTTTTTTTAGCTACACACTTTTACAGCTTCTCTGAAGGTAGTTCTTGGCTCAGAGCATTTGAATGTTATTTCTCTGTAGGTGAAGATGTGACTCACAGATAGAATTCATTATCTGCAGTGCAACACGCAGCTCAAGAAGAAGTTTCAGGAAGGGCAGGGAAAGTGGCTCCAACTTTTACCATTGCCTCTTGCACCAAAGGCTTCGGGGTGGTGGTGTGTGCAAAAGCAGGTTCAGCTGGCTTGAACCTAAAGACACACTTGAATGAGAGACTTTACACCAAAAAAAGCAAACTATAAAAGCACATTGGACAATCACACCATAAATTATAAATTCAACAATATTCTTAACTGTTTAGAATCTCCTGAGCTAAAGGAACCTTTAAAACTGAAGGTTTCTGGACAATCTTCTATAAGCAGGAAGAATTTCATTAAGAAACACTAAAAGGGGTTTTGGAAGATATGGACATTGAATACCTACACAATAGGGGGAAGGAAGGTCAGTGTTCCATATCTACAAAGAACCTAAAGATTTTTATTTTTAGGTGAACAATAGATTTATTTTTAGAGAGTAACTGTTAAACAAACTTTAACTGTGCTTTTGTTTAGTACTTTTGAAAGAGTTAAAGGAGTGGCGGGTACTTTCCATATGAGACCTGCTACTTTCTACAGGTCCTACCTACCAAAATGCACCCAGCGTTTTCAACCACAGTTGTCTCAAACACATCTTCTATCTACACCCACTCCTCATTGTAGGTGAAGCTTTGTATAACAGAAATGGACTTACCTAACACATTTTTTCTAAGACAAATCAGAATGTGAAATGCTAATCAAAAGGGAAAGAAAAGGATTTCTAATCCCTTCCAACTCTCCTCTTGGTGTTTAGGTAGACTTGGGTCACAAAATTGAGCATTTAGTTTCGAATTACAGCAGGCAGCAGGGGGAGGGAATGGAGACACTTGCTCAAGGACTCGCCCTTTGTGTTTCGGTTCCTGCAGAGCAACTTGGAGCCAGGCGGAGGAACAGGACGCCGAGAAGATCCCAGCCTCTGCCCCTTACCACCTTCCACTTTGGAAGGGACACTTGTTCACTCAGAGAATTAACCTAGAGGGTTAGCAAAAAGATTAATAAATCAGGTGATATGTTTAGCTGGTATAAAACAGACAAATAAATAGTGATTATCATGCTATTCAAGGTATTAGAGTTCATAAATTATATATATTTTCCAAGGGTGTAGTAATCCAAAATTCTGAATAAATTAGTCAACACTGAAAGCCACATTCTCAAATAATCACACCCTTGCTTTAGGTCTCTGATCTTGTGCCACCTAATAGCTGAGCCTCCCAGTGGCTGAACTTCCACCCTTAGTCTGCCAGCCTAGGCTTGTCCCCTGCACCCCAGCCCAGGTGACATGGTGTACAATGGAAGGAAACATTTCAACCTCCTGAAATATTTCTGAGGTAAGAATATGTTTAAACACCATTAGAGGCAATAACGGAGCAATTTTAAAACTTCAGGCTTGAAGTTTTGACCCATGAAACTGTCAGGGGGCCTGAGCCTGCCCTGGGAACCACTTTTCTACAGAAAAGGATGATCAGCAAAGGTGGATTGGCTAAATATGCCAAAGCCCAGCACTAGAACATTTATTTTAAAGTTAACTTTGTTGCCATGGAACATCTTTGAGGAGTTTAACTCTGTTTTTTAAGAAACTTGGCAGTGGCCATTTTCTCCATTGATGGTAATCTGCCTAGAGAGAAAGTTTTTGTGCTTTATATCAAATATTGGTCAAGAAGAATACTGTGAGCAAAATGCAAAAAGACAAATCACCGAAGGGACATTATTTACCTTCTAGAGGCCAATTTTGTCTGATTAACAGGAGTCACAGAACTTTTTTTATTAAAGTTTCTCTTTTGCCGAGGCCATTGCAGAATTTAAAAACATTCAATAGAAGCACAGGAAAAAAACTGTAAATATTTTTGAGACTCTGAAAATGTTTCTAAACATCCTATCATTTTAAAGAACAATGAAGATAGAAAAAATGAACACATCTGGAACACCAGTTATGTGTCTGGTCCTGTAATAGAGGCTTTCTTTTGTATTTTTCTTATCTTATTTAATCTTTAAACTACTCTGAAAGAAACATGTTACTGTTTCTAATTTGCTGTTTTAAAGAAAAAGTAACTTGCTAAGTCTATTAATAGATGCATCTGGATTTTGGAAACAAATTCATCCAGCTTCAAAATCTGTGTTTTGAAATATTTTTTCTCCCAAAGGTAATAAAAAACCTTCCAAAGTTTCTTTCAATTCTAAAATTCTAAAAATATATTGAAATTGTAGCATTAACAATCTTCCTTCTAGCAAAATTTCAACACAGTTAAATGCAGTTCTGTGCATATTCCTGGTCTGCATCTGAAAAACTGAAGGTGAACTGAGAAAAATGCTGACTGGACTCACTTTAAATTCATGATTATAAACCTCACAGGGACTCAGTCCTGTGGGACAATCCTACTCTGCATTCCCTGGGATAACTTATCTGCTTCTCTTTCCTCAAACCTCTATGCTCTCAGGCAATAACCAAGCTTTCCATTAGCAGGGGAATTGGGAAACTTCCAGTTGCTCCCATTTACATATCTTCCAACTCCACTGGATCTGTACATACATATTTTGCTTTCCCCACTTTACAAAAGATGGGCGCCTGCCACAGTCTGATGACAGCACGTCAGTTTGTGCACTGGACTCTGACATCTCGTTCATTCACAGACATTGCTGCTTACATAGTTCCTTCTCTCAGTCATCAGGTTTTCTCATTTAGTGGAACATCCAAAATGTGTGTGTATGTTTATATATAGGCTCACGCACACACACAAGCATGTACACACACACATGTGCTCTTCTAGCAGACATACCAGGTTAGAGAGCCTTGGGTCACAACATCTTGTTTTCTGTGTGCTTCCATTTAAAAATGTCATATTTAATATATATTTTTTTGCATATAAGTAATTACATGGTCTTTGAATGATTTAAAGCCAAGAAGTTACTTGTTAATAACTTTGGACTTTAGTTGCATTATACTGGCATGTTTGCCCACGTCCTTGTAAAACAAGCCTGTCTCAACAGCATTGTAGACCTGCTTTTCCATGTAGCCCTCCTCCTATATAACATCAGGAGGTATTTTTTTTTTAATTTTCCAGTTGCTTCCTGACCTGCGGGATCTGCCCGCCTTCAGTTCAGTCTCGCCAGATCTCCTTCTGAAGTGTGACCCAGTCAGCAGACTCGGGCGGCTCTGAACCAGAGTAATGCGGCGGTAAGGGGCTGCGCCCTGCCTCTCATCAGCCGTCATCTCATGAGTCTACGAATTCAGCTGCTTTTCCACCTTTACCACAGCCTTTTCACACTATTGATGTTACTTCAGCACTTTCTGGGGTAGCCTGCATACATTTCATTGTATTTCCTCTTCATCTTTCTGATTGTATTTTTAAAAAAGAAACAGCAAGGCTGGATGGAGTCATTTGCCCTCCCTGCCTCCCTGCCAAGACTTAATTACAGTTTCCACCTCTACCAGGAATATGACCTTTTAACAAGCAATCAGGAATTTTCTGGTCACACCAAAGAGGTCATTTTGGGGATGACTTCTCTATCCCCAAGAGAAGATGAGGTGATCTGCATGGTAAGACCCCCTGTTCTGCCCCCTAAGAGAAGATGACCTGGCCTGAAACAACCCTTCATTTTCTTTTAGTTAATAATTTCCTTGCTCCGCTCTTCTTCCTATAAAACCTTTCCATTTTGTACAGTCCTTGAGCGTTTCTTTACTTGGCTAGAGGGAAGTTGACTGATTCATGACTCACTTAACAAAGCCAATTAGATCTTCAAACTTACTGGGTTGACTTTTGTTTTTTTAACAACACCATACTGTCAATTCATCAGCATTGAACTCAGAGCCAATGGCATTACAATAAGCACATAGCCTTTTTATACTTAGGGGCACTAGATGGCAACACTTCTGAAATGCCCTGGGAAGGCATTTTAAACAGTGCAATCACTAATGAAAAGCACAAAACTGCAAAAAAATATAACATAAGTAGAATTTGAAAAGAACACCTGTTTACATTTTGAGAGCTGAAACAAGAAGGCAGAGCTCAACTGGGAATATAATTGATCAGGTGACTCAAATTTCTCACACACATCTCTGCAAGTCTGAGAATGACAGAAAAAGGTGCCATGGGTGCTGATCTGGGGTTACAAATAAATTTTAGCAAGTAGGTGGATCCACGAATACAAAATCTGTGATTTAATAAGTATTGACTATATGTGTGTACATATACACATATGTAAATTATTGGGGAGTGTGGGTAAAACTGCAATATTTCCAGAATCTCTCACCTGTTCTTAGTACATCTCCGTATTAATAGGTGTTTCCAAGGGGTGGAGAGAAGTAGCCATCTCCATATCAGTAGGTGATTACAAGGGGGAGTGGGGGCATATCTGGACAGGAGAGGTTGAATGGGTTCCCTTCTTGCAGATGGGTCGCAAGAGACATGGGTGAGCAGAAGTGGATGACTGCTTGTAATTAATAAATGGGTTTCTCCCACTTTATTTCTCCCTTTAACAGACTTCAGTTTCAAAGGTAATTTGCCCTGGATTGGGAAAATATTTTCCCCCGAGTTACAGGGAGAAAGAAATTTCCTCTCCCCCTTGAGGTTCTTCTAGCTGGTCTAAGAATCAAATTGACATGAAAGAGATTAACAGGAGAATATACGGGGGGACCATTGATGTGGGTCCCAAAGACAGGGAGAATGAGGTGCATGTGTCATCCTGAGTCAAGGAGAAGGGGGTAGGGGTCTGAGACTTCAAAGGAAAAGGGAAGCAAACTCTCAGGAATATGAAAGGAGTAAATATTTGATAATTAAATATTTGCCGAGTCACACAATAAAACTGCAGGGGCACAAAGAGGAATTTTAACAAGTCTTAGGCACAGCTCTCCCAGTCTCACACCTAGTTTACATTATAATGTAGTTTTTTATGATGATAGCACTTTTCCTGGAGCAGGTCCTCTGTCTAAATTCTTTTTATGCAATTGGGGCTTGGGAGTTCAAAGTTTCTTTCTGAGTCTTCTGGGCCTTGTTTGTTCTCAACTCTGGAATAATCTGCATGACACAGTGGCACATCTTAGGGCGACCTGCCCTTTGTCCCTACAGTATATGTGTGTGTGTGTGTGTGTGTGTATACTCATGTGCTCTGTGTGTATATATATGCTATAATTTTGGTTGCATTTAAAACCACAAACATATTATGAATTTATATAAGCTGTTTACCTGCAATGTATTGCTCATATCTCTGCTGGGCTTGAAATCTTGTACAGATTCACAAGTTCCAATATCTGTTATCCTATTCTTTCTTAAAGCACATCAAAACTCAGTTTATACATTATTAAATACTATAGTCAATACTTAATCCTCTTTTTACTCAAGAAAGCTGAACGACTGAGAACTCTCTGATTTATTCTCTGGACACCATTCTCAGTTGGTTCTCCGTTTCTGGGCTTCCTCCTCTAGAGCAGTGATTTTCAAATTTATGAATGCATGCACATTGGGGCACCCAGACTTTTTGAAGGTTACAGTGGTAAATAGTTTTATTTATTTAAAAAATTTATTAAGATATTATTGATATACACTCTTATGAAGGTTTCATATGAAAAAAAATGTGGTTACTACTATTACCCGTATTATCAAGTCCCCACCCATACCCCAATGCAGTCACTGTCCATCAGTGTAGTAAGATGCCACAGATTCACTATTTGCCTTATGTGTGCTATACTGTCTTCCCTGTGACCCCTCACACCATGTGTACTAAACATAAGACCCTTCAATCCCCTTATCCCTCCCTCCCCACCAGCCCTCCCCCACCCCTCCCATTTGGTAACCACTAGTTCCTTCTTGGAGTCTGTAAGTCTGCTGCTGTTTTGTTCCTTCAGCTTTGCTTGTTACACTCTACAAATGAGGTACTTATCTTTCTCTGCCTGACTTATTTCACTGAGGATAATATCCTCTAGCTCCATCTATGTGGTTGCAAATGGGAGGATTTGTTTCTTTCTTATGACTGAATAGTATTCCATTGTGTATTTGTACCACCTCTTCTTTATCCATTCATCTACTGATGGACACTTAGGTTGCTTCCATTTCTTGGTTATTGTAAAAAGTGCTGTGATAAACATAGGGGTGCATATGTTTTTTTGAACCTGAGAACTTGTATTCTTTGGGTAAATTCCAAGGAATGGAATTCCCAGGTCAAATGGTATTTCTATTTTTCATTTTTTGAGGAACCTCCCTACTGCTTTCCACAATGATCAAACTAGCTTACATTCCCACCAGCAGTGTAGGAGGGTTCCCCTTTCTCTGCATCCTCACCAGCATTTGTTGTTCTTAATCTTTTCAATGCTGGGCATCCTTACTGCTGTGACGTAATATCTCATCATGGTTTTAACTTGCATTTCCATGATGATTAGTGATGTGGAGCCTCTTTTCATGTGCCTGTTGACGATCTGAATTTGTACTTTGGAGAATTGTCTCTTTATATCCTCTGCCCATTTGTTAATCAGGTTATTTGCTTTTGGGGTGTTGAGGCATGCGAGTTCTTTATACAATTTGGATGTTAACCCCTTGTCAGATATGTCATTTACAAATATATTTTCCCATACTGTAGCATGCCTTTTTGTTCTGTTGATGGTGGTGTCCAATGCCATACAGAAGCTTTTTAGTTTGGTGTAGTCCCATGTGTAAATTTTTGCTTTTGTTTCCCTTGCTTGAGGAGATGCGTTCAGTAAGACGTTGCTCATGTTTATATTCAGGAGATTTTTGCCTATGTTGTCTTCTAAGAGTTTTATGGTTTCATGGCTTACATACAGGTCTTAGATCCATTTCAAGTTTACTTTTGTGTATGGGGTTAAACAATAATCCAGTTTCATCTTTTGCATGTAGCTGTCCAGTTTTGCCAACACCAATTGTTGAAGAGACTGTCATTTTACAATTGTATATCCATGGCTCCTTTATCATATATTAATTGACCATATCTGGTTGGGTTTATATCTGGGCTCTCTATAGTCTGTTGCATTGGTCTATTGCTCTGTTATTGTGCCAGTACCAAATTGTCTTGATTATGGTGGCTTTGTAGTAGAGCTTGAAGTTGGGGAGCAAAATCCCCCCACTGTATTCTTCCTTCTCAGGATTGCTCAGGGTCTTTTGTGGTTCCATTTGAATTTCAGAACTATTTGCTTCAGTTCTTTGAAGAATGCTTTTGGTATTACAATAGGAATTGCATTGAATCTGTAGATTGCTTTAGGCAGGATGGCCATTTTAATAATATTAATTCTTCCTATCCATGAGAATGGGATGTGTTTCCATTTATTGGTATCTTCTTTAATTTCTCTCATGAGTGTCTTATAGTTTTCAGGGTATAGGTCTTTTTCTTCATTGGTTAGGTTTATTCCTAGGTATTTTATTTTTTTTGATGCAATTGTGAATGGAATTGTTTTTCTGATTTCTCCCTCTGCTAGTTCATCATTAGTGTATAGGAATGAAACAAATTTCTGTGGGTTAATTTTGTATCCTGCAACTTTGCTGAATTCAGATATTAGATCGAGTAGTTTTGGAGTGGATTCTTTAGGGTATTTTATGTACAATATCATGTCATTTGCAAACAGGGACAGTTTCACTTCTTCCTTACCATTCTGGATGCTTTTCATTTCTTTCTGTTTTCTAATTGTTGTGGCGAGGACCTCCAGAACTAAGTTGAATAAAAGTGGAAAGAGTGGGCATCCTTGTCTTGTTCCCGATCTTAAATGAAAGGCTTTCATCTTCTCTCTGTTAAGTATAATGTTGGCTGTGGGTTTGTCATATATGGCCTTTATTATGTTGAGATACTTGTCCTCTATACCCATTTTGTTGAGAGTTTTTATCCTGAATGGATGATGAACCAGCTCTTGATTTCACTGATTCTTTCTAATGTTTTATTCTTCTCAATTGTATTTATTTCTGCTTTAATCTTTTTTATGTCCCTCCTTCTACTGACTTTGGACCTCATTTGTTCCTCTTTTCCTAGTTTAATTAGTTGTGAGTTTAGACTGTTCATGTGGGAGTGTTCTTCTTCCTTGAGGTAGGCCTGTATTGCAATATATTTCCCTCTTAGCAAGGCCTTTGCTGGGTCCCACAGATTTTGCAGTGTTGAATTACTGTTGTCATTTGTTGCCATATATTGCTTGATCTCTGTTTTTATTTGGTCATTGATCCATTGATTATTTAGGAGCATGTTGTGAAGCCTCCATGTGTTTGTGGAATTTTTTATTTTCTTTGCATAATTTATTTCTAGTTTCATACCTTTTTGGGCTGAGAAACTGGTTGGTACAGTTTCAACCTTTTTGAACTTACTGAGACTTTTTTTGTGGCCTAGTATATGATCTATTCTTGAAAGTGTTCCATGTGCACTTGAGAAGGATGTGTATTCTGCTGCATTAGGGTGTAGAGTTCTGTAGATGCCTGTTAGGTCCATCTGTTCTAATGTGCTGTTCAGTGCCTCTGTCTCCTTATTTTCTGTCTGGTGGACCTGTCCTTCAGAGTGAGTGGAGTGTTGAAGTCTCCTAAAATGAATGAATTGCATTCTATTTCCCCTTTAATTCTGTTTGTATTTGTTTCACATATGTAGGTGCTCCTGTGTTGGGGGCATAGATATTTATAATGGTTATATCTTCTTGTCGGATTGACCCCTTTATCATTATGTAATGTCCTTCTTTGTCTCTTGTTACTTTCTGTGTTTTGAAGTGTATTTTGTCTGATACAAGTACTGCAACTCCTGCTTTTTTCTCCCTATTAGTTGCATGAAATATCTTTTTCCATCCCTTCACTTTTAGTCTGTGTATGTCTTTGGGTTTGAAGTGAGTGTCTTGTAGGCAGTACATAGATGGGTCTTGTTTTTTATCCATTCAGTGATTCTGTGTCTTTTGATTGGTGCATTCAAACCATTTACATTTAGGGTGATTATCAATAGGTATGTACTTATTGCCATTGCAGGCTTTAGATTCATGGTTACCAAAGGTTCAAGGTTAACTTCCTTACTATCTAAAAAGTCTAACTTAACTCAGTTAGTATGCTATTACAACCACAATATAAAGGTTGTTTTTTCTCTCTCCTCCTTTTTCTTCCTCCTCTTTTCTTTTTATATTAAGTATCATATTCTATACTCTTTGTGTATCCCTTGATTGACTTTGGGGGTAGTTGATTTAATTTTGCATTTGCTTAGCAATGAACTGTTCTACTTTTTTTTATTGTGGTTTTATTACCTCTGTTGACAGCTATTAAATCTTAGAAACACTTCCATCTATAGCAGTTCCTCCAAAATTCACTGTAAATTCTCTCAGCTTTTGCTTATCTGGAAATTGTTTAATCCCTCCTTCAAATTTAAATGAAAATCTTGTTAGATAAAGTATTCTTGGTTCCAGGCCCTTATGCCTCATTGCATTAAATACATCATGCCACTCCCTTCTGGCCTATAAGGTTTCTGCTGAGAAGTCTGATGATAGTCTGATGGGCTTTCCTTTGTATGTGATCTTATTTCTTTCTCTGGCTGCTTTTAATAGTCTGTCCTTATCCTTGATCTTTGCTATTTTAATTATTAAATGTCTTGGTGTTGTCTTCTTTGGGTCCCTTGTGTTGGGAGATCTGTGGATCTCCATGGCTGGAGAGACTATCTTCTTCCCCAGATTGGGGAAGTTTTCAACAATTACCTCCTCAAAGAAACTTTCTGTCACTTTTTCTCTCTTCTTCTTCTTCTGGTACCCCTATAAGGTGAATATTGTTCTCTTTGGATTGGTCACACAGTTCTCTCAATATTGTTTCATTCTTAGAGATCCTTTTTTCTCTCTGTGCCTCCACTTCTTTTTTTCCTCTTCTCTAATTTCTGTTTCCTTTATCATCTCCTTCACCATAACTTACCTGCTTTTAAAACCTTCCATTGTATGTTTCATTTCTGATACTGTGTTCTGTAATAATTGGATCTCTGACCAGAATTGATTCCTGAGTTCTTGAATATTTTTCCATACCTCCATGAGCATGTTAATGCTTTTTATTTTGAAATCTCTTTCAGGAAGATTCATGAGGTCAATTTCATTTGACTCTTTCTCTGGTGTATTCATAATTTTGCTTTGAACCAGGTTCCTTTGACTTTTCATATTTGTATATGGCACCCTCTAGTATCCAGAAGCTCTACTCTCTGGAGCTGCTCAGCCTCTGAAGCAATGTTGGGGATCACAGGGAAGTGGTATTGGTGCCTGGGGGAAGGAAAGAGCTGTTTCCTGCTTCCCAGCTGCTATGCCTGTCTCCATTGCCAGAACCAGTGGGCCAACCACACAGGAATAGGCCTCTACCCTTTGCATTTGTAGCTGCTATAGTGGGGCTTCCCTCTGGCTGTTCTAACTCCAGGGTAGGGTTTGCTCGTTTGTGAGCCAGGTGGGGCTGGCCAGGAGGAAGACACAGCAGGCTGTGTATCATGGAGGGGGGGCCTTGGAGCTGAGTAGCCAGCCAGGGGGATGGAGCCTCTGAAGATCGTGAAAGTTCCCAACCTGCTGGGCAGAGTCCTCCCAGACAATTTTGTCTCCCTGTCCTTTCTTCTGAGCAGTAAGCTCTGTGCAATCCTTGCTGCTTTAGCAGCCCTCTTGCTGTTAGGAAGTCTGTCCGATTTCCTGCCTTTCTTTTGTCCCAGAGCAGCCCGCCAAATGTGGATCCCTTCTTTCCACAGGTGGCTGGAATCTCAGTCTCTCCAGAAATTTTGCCTGTCTTAGCTTTCCCAACCACACTGATCTCCAGAGCACCATGTAATGTAGGTTTGTGCTCCCAGAGCAGATCTCCAGAGGTAGGTGTTCAGCAGTCCGAGGCCTCCACTCCCTCCCTGCTCTGTTTCTCTTCCTCCTTCTGGTGAGCTGGGGTAAGGGGAGAGCTTGTGTCCCGCCGGGCCATGGCTTTGGTATGTTACCCTGTTCCATGAGGTCTGTTTTTTCCTCTAGGGGTATGCCGTCTGGCGCAGTCCTTTTTTCTGTTGCTATTTCAAGATTAGTTGTACTAATTGTATTTTTGTATTATATGCGGTTTTAGGAGGAAGCCTCTGTCTCACCTCTCACACCTCCATCTTTAATCCCAGTGGTAAATAGTTTAAAAGGAATCACTGTATTCATTCTATTTTTGCCTGAGACTAATTCATGCTGGTTCTATTTTGCTCCCATTCATAGTCACCTTTCTCTCACTTTACAAAAGAAAGACCCCACTCCCCACCCCTGCCCAGCACCTTCCTGAAGCTCTCTATGCTGCACTGCCTTAAAGACAGCAGCATTCCATAGAGATGCTCAAGATGGTGCTCAGGAAATGAAAGACTGTAATGACTGAGTGACTAATAGTTTGCAAATCAGAGCTTGCTTAGTCTTCCTAATATTTAACAGAATTGATGGAGAACCTGCTGAGCTGTTGGGTAGAGAATCAGCAACCATGTAACTCCGAACACAGCTTGGACACTGAGAATCGAATTTACCTACTCAACCTCCGACTCCTACTGTGCCCTGCAACATACACACATCTTAAGGTCTAATGTTTAAAGAGTTAAAGTGATAAGAATTGATATCTTTATTATTCCAAGAGAGACAATTACAGAGGCAATAACTTAATTTTTCATTACAGAAGCTTCCAGAAGGATTCACAAACTCTTCAATAGAAGCATCAATGGAAGTTACCCTGCTCCACAAAACCCTTGAATTCTGGTCCAATAAATGTAAATTGGTCTATCATGATCTTTACCCAAGTCTAGTCAAGCTCTGTACTGAAACTCTTGCTTTAAACTAAAGTTCATATTCTTAATAAAACTTTTCTGCCATGTCTCTGAGACACTTCTGAAGTTTTTGCTAGGGGCTTGTTCTCTCTTGCCATGCTGAGCAATAAACTCAGCTTTGTCTTATCAAGTCTGTGTCAGTGATATCTGGGGACTGGCATTTGATAGTTAAAAACAGTCTTTGACTGTAGATGATTATATGTTTTTGGCATGAAACCTAGAAGTTTTAAATCAAGTGACCCTATCAGTTCCCATCTACTTATGTTGCAAAGCATTTTGGAACTTCTATCTACATACACATATATAATGAAAAATATTAATAAAATTGATATTAAATTATATCTCATTACTAGCTTTATAATAAAAATTTATATTTCTGTTTTTATTTATGTGCTAACAATAATTGTAACAAAAATTTAACTAGAAAATAATTTCCACACTTAGAACCTATGGGAATTTTTAGAGAAGTCTTCTTTCCCAATGGTTTTATGACATAGCAAACTTATATTTAAAAATATACATAGACTCTTTTTGGTTTGAGAAATATTTTAGTGGGTGAACTTTAAAACTTTTATAGCATAATAGTATATATTGGATATATATTTAAGTAGAACAAAAATATCAGTTCAAAATAAAAAATGTGAAATTTCTGACTATTAAAGGGGGCTTGCTCAAGTATTTGTAGATGAACAAGGATAACCATCAAAGTATGTGGTCAAAGTATATTTAAAAGGTGATAGAACAATGTTATTTTAAACCTTAAGAATGTCAATATTTATAATACACTGAAATTATGTTCCTTGTAGCAATTTGGGTTCATGATGAAAAATTTTAGTGCTGATTTGAAAATGTACGAAAGGATACCTAGTTATTCCAGAACGTTTTCATGGGACTCTGTGAAACACAGTTTGAGGCCACTGCCCTGTTCTACTTCTAAGCCCAGAGATCCCAGGACTTAGTCTTCTGACCTATTTCCCTCCTATACATGAGCCTCCTCCTGGGGAACTTCTTGAGTCTCAAGATAGAAAATAATATTGCTTCACTGAGTTCTGCCAAATTAGAGTCTCCACCTTCTACCCCCAGTCTTATATACCAAACCTTACATTGGACATATTTAATTATGTCAAACATGTGTCTCAAAACTGAACATATCCTGAAGAGAACTCAACATCTACTCCCAATCCACCCTAATATTTTCATCTCCATTTTGTCCCATCTCTTTAAATTTTTAAAAAGTTAATTTAAAAAAAACTGAAGAAAAAGAAATAACCTGGAGTTATCACAGACCCATCTCTTTTCCTTCTTTATGAAATTATACATGGAATAGAGCAGCCTGCTCTGTGGGCTCTACTTTGGAAATACACCTGGAATCTGACCAGGTTTCACTATCCTGACCTCTGAAGATATAAGGAAATCACAACCATTGACATCCTTCCCCATAGTCCCAACTTGATAACAGCAAATGAATCTGGACGTGTCTCCCTGCTTCTACTCTTGCTCAAGAATAGTCTTCTGTAGAGAGTAGGAACACAAGTCTTTACCATTAGGCAAAATTTTATTTTTTCTGTGTTCAAACCCACCAATGCCTTTTCCTTTACTTCAAGGTCCTAACTGATGTAGGTCCCCAAGTCTTTTATCATCCCCACCTGTCCTCTCCTGGCCCTGCCATTCTCCCTTGGGTTTTGGTACCCATCTCACTCCCAGCCTTGCACTCACTTCTCCTCCTGCCAAGAACACCATTTCCCCTGCCGGGGGTGTGCTATCAGTCCCACCAGTCATTCAGGTGCTTTCCCCCTGGCCCCGGATTCATCAGCACCGCATTGCCATTCCTCTTCCAGCCACTGTCCTTTACCTGTGATCCTGTCACTTCATAACACCTACCCCGCCTGACACACAAATATTTATCTGTTGCCATTTTTATTTTCTTTCACCCCATACTGGAATATAAGATCCATAAGTCCAGGACATTTTTTTGTTTTGCTTACTACTAAATTCTCAGAATGTGGAACAGAGCTTAGCACAAAGTTGATAGTAAATATTTAGTTAATACATAACTGAATATCTTGTTGGCTAAAACCAGACAAGGAAGGCATTGATTTTATTCAGTCTATTGCAATAGGGAGTTAGGAATCAGTGTCTGAGCAGTGTGGTTTTTGCCTAGATGTAGACGGGCAGAATAAACCAGTTAAAAGGGGTGGGCTGATTTACAGGCAGGACTGTTTGGCAGTCAGGATATGTCCAGTCAGTTAGCTGAACTGGAAATGGTGGTTCCTGTGTCTAGCTAGTTCCAGGGCAACAGACGGTTTTAACATCAGCCAATTGTTCGTGAGATAAAAACTGGGAGCTGGAGGCTTCACATCTGGCATTTCAGGATTTCCAGATAAAAGGGGAAACTTTGTATTTGCCCTTGTCATGGGTAAATACAGGGTCCTCTGTGAGTTTTATGGGGTCATGGGGAAGGGTGGTCAGTGAGTATTACCTCAGTTAGAGGGGGTAGGGAGATTCTTCGTGGGAAGCCTTTTCTGGAACACAAAAGAGTGGAGATTTCTTAACCATCACCATTGTTTGGGCTCAGGTGAAGTTCAGCACCATCATGTATATTGCTGTTGTTGTTTAACTAATAAGGTTACTCTATTTGGGCACCAACTGTTTGAGCATGAAGTATTTTAAGTTTCTTTGGCTTTTATGACTTTCTACATTATTTTAACATCTCCATGTGCCAGAAACAACTTTGCTTGCAGCTAACATCTTGTAAAACCTAAATCTGAATAATCTAAAGAATACTATGAAAGATGGAGAGTGGGCAGAAATTGAGGTGCAAGGGATTATCCAGCTCACCCAACGTCACAGGCAATATAAATATTGGATCAAACCAAATCATTCATGTTCATAGTGATATACATTTAATTACTTCTACTAACAGAACAGTTACCATTGGGAAGACAAACAATAACATGTTTCTGATTCTTTACTATATGTCATTATAATTGCTCTTTTGCGTAAGTGTTAAAAATAACTATTATATATTATTATATGTGCTATGGCCCATTTGACCAGATAATATCAGCATTTTGAGATCCCCACACTTTTCAATGTCATTTTTTTTCTCTTGTTTTCCCCAACATTCTACTCCTAGTGTCACTCAGGAAATAATATGCATCTGAGGTTTTATAATAGGTGACTGAATATTTGTGGCTCTTCATGCCATCCTCACGTCCAATAAACAGCCAAAATATATCCCTGAAGACATCCCACAGGGAGTTGGTCCTTAATTAATCACAGAGCATAAGACTGAAATGAGTAGTAATCAATCTGGTGCACAGCTGGTTGTAGTTTTCGTAATTTGAAGCGTTTCTCATAGTGGCATTTGTTTAAAGCCAACTTATTGAATATTTAGTAACATGTGCCAATCTTAGTGGGGAGTAAAACTGACATGATTCCAAATTATAATAGAAGGGAAGAGTGTTATTGATCACTTGGAGGCCATTCTTGGGCCTCTTATTATTAGCAAAAAATAATTTTAAAAAGAAGGAAAAAGACAGAGAGTAAGGGAGAGAAAAAAAGAAAGAGGAGAAAAGGAAGAGAGAAGAAAGAAAAAGAAGGAAGGAAGGGAAAAAAGAAAGAAATAATTCCTCCCTTGTTCTGTCTGGTGCTCATTTATTAAGGATCTGGTTAGCCGTCACCTTGAATCCTTTTCTTCAGAGACTTGAGAGGCTTTGGAGTGACCATTTGCTTATAAGTCTGTCTCTACTTCCTAACCCCCGAGTTCTTTGAGTGCTCTAAGTGTAAATAGTCTGTATTACATTTCTCTGTTTTATCTCCTCAACAGTTGAATGAAGAAATGAATAAAAAATATAACATAGTTTTTTGTTTCTGAATTTTCAGGTTTTTTTAATCAACTTTAGTAATACTGCTAAGCTTTATAAATAAACAGTCATTCACTTTTCATCCATTTATTAAAAAGAAATTTAATGAGTAACTGCTAGAAACTAAGGACTGTGTCATGTGCTAAATGTAAATAGTCAATAAAATGGACTGGATGTATGTTTTCATGAGTTTACAATATAGAAGAGAAGATGGATTATTAAATGCATAAACAGGGGAAAAAACCCCACAAATGAATATATGTAAATGTAGCTCATGAAGAGAGGCTAATTTTTTGTTTGAGTCATCACTGTAACTATTCACCATAGCACTTGGCAGCTAGTGAGCATTTAAGAAATTTTGTATTATTAATATAATTAAATTTGTGATAAAATTGTAAAATAATCACTGTAATTAACATGTGAATATAATTTAAAATTCTAGACAATGAGGGTGTGCTATGAATAAAATAATACTAAATTAGAAATATATTCTAACAGGAAAAATAATTTTCGCTGTATGCTTCTGTGTGCTTGGCTGGGATCCCCCTGTAATAAAGGACCTAAGAACAGGAGAAAAACAAACATCATAATGTGCATACCATCTGTATGCACATGGGATATATCCAAGAAAACCAAGTTACTCCTGGAAGTGGCCCAAGCCACTACTGAAAAAACCGTCCCCAGCTGAGGGCAAAAGGAGATGTTGGGGGTGTAGAGAGTCAGTTAATGCAGATTATCGGGCAAAGCACAGTAAACAAAGGTCTGGTTGTTATGCGGGTTTAAGTCCTTGTCTTCTTCACTGATAATTTTCTAGAGATTTTGTCACTGACTTCTTCCTAGTCCAGAGAAGGAGATACCCTTACAAGTGGAGATTTCCCTTGTAAATGCAAATTTCTCTTACAAAAAGAAAATAACCTCCACTGGTTTTTCAGAGCCTTTCCTGTGTCTGCAGTTTCTTTAAAAAAAAATTAATGCTCAAGATATTCCTTATGCCAAAGAGGCGTATTCTGGGGTGGCAAATTCTGCTCTCCTTTCCCATTGTCTGCAGTAAAAACCTTTAGGTTACCGTTTTCCTTATCCTGAAAAGTCTCTCCTTACATTTAAATGTCAAAGGTTCTTAAAGCCAATACTAATTCGTATACATAATGCTTAAAGTAATTTGTCTGAAAT